AATCAAATTAATGTTACTTTACAATCGATACTGAATATTTTTCAGTTTCTTGTTCAAGAAGCGCATTTCGTATCAATTAAAACATTCAAGTGTTTATGAAAAAAAATTGTTGAAAAACGAATTTATATTGAACAAAAATCGTTTATTTTCTCAATGAAAAACAAACACATTCATAAAAAAACATGCACAAATTTATATTTACGCTTACATTTAAATATTTTTACTAGCGATTTTTCACAACACTTTGTTAAAAAAAATATGTGCACACTTTAATTTCTAGTTTAATATTAAAATATTGAATTTCAAATGTGACGATATTTAATCACAAGTGTTAAGGAAGATGGTATTAATTGTTTTTAAAAATAATAGTTTTTCACATGCATAAAATATATATTTATTTCAGGAAAACATTTTTATTAGAAAGTAATTTTTCAAATTCTTTCGTTATTATTAAAAATATACGTTTTCCGCTATTTAAAATAGAAGATCAAAATTAGAATTAAAAGTGAGGAATAACTGACTGAACACACTTAATTTATATATATTGACTTATAAATATATGTAGGGGGATACGATACATCCGCAGGAAATGTAAATTGAATTTCTAGGCAATATCTTTATTTTACATTTGAAATTATTTAAATCAACTATTGAAAATATTCAAATGTTATATAATTTCAGTATCGACTACGATAAACCTTAACGTCAAAGTGAAGAAAAATATTAAAATTTAATTTCGAACATAACAAATGTAGTATAGTTGTATAATAAAAATATTTAAAATTTGGTTGAACAAATGGTTGAACATTCAATAGAAATCAGTCATTGAGATAGTTTGTTATATTTACGTTGTTTATATTTGATTCAAATATGAAATATAAGAACATTGAAGTGAATTTGAAAATAGTTATTTGTATTATGATATTTTTTTGGGTTCTATGTATGTGATGGAGACTGCGATTAGATTGATCAAACAAGCCTAAAACGCCATATATTGATACTAGTATGTATGTACTTATGTATTTTTGTCACCGAAAAGGTTGCCAATCTTTTTAAGAGCCTCAGCCTCACAAGTTTCCCTTTATAAACTCTTTCAGAAAAAGTTTATTTAGAGTAGCATTTTTTGTATTTAAAGTGAGAATGACAATTGTTTTCCCAAATTAAATTCTCGAGTGATTCCACATTTTGGCCACTGACCAGTATTGGCTATAAATATATAGCATATATACTTATATATATTGAAATTTTATTTTGTCGCCTGTTGCCAATAGTAGCCTGCTGTCTATTGTTGTTGTCAGTACTGGAGCTATTATTGTTGTTGTTGTGGAGGCAGCTTTGTCAGCATTGTTTGAATGCGACTAGAAAAGCAGCAAACTAATAAATGAAGCAAGACGGAGAAAGGATATGAAAAGTAGCACAAAAAGGAAAAATGCCCGTAGTTGCAGAAACAAATGTACTCGTACGTGGAGTGTGTGTGTGCGTGTGAGTGTGGCACGCAGAGTTGCAGTGCGGCACGTTGCATTGTTATGGGGATACACATACAAACATTCGTCGTATGTTTGCATCTTCTAAATTTTTCATTTTCTTTTTATTCTTCGTCAGCCTGCTCGTTCCGACAAGAACCTTTTGCTTTGTAGCTTCGCTGCTCCTGTTTTTGCTCCGGCTCCTGCTCCGGCTCCTGCTCCGGCTGTTGCAATTCTAGTTGCAATGCCCATGTTCTGCATCGGCAGCAGCAGCAGCGGCAGAAACAACATAAGAACTTGAGTTGTTTGTTTTTGCTTTGTCGTGTGTTGACACATTTTTAGCATAGAATATGCCACAGACACGTGATTTCGATGTTTTAGTACATCTTTGAATGTGTATGTGTGTGTGTGTGTGTGTGTGTGTGTGTGTGTGTGCGTGTATGTGTATGTGTTTCTGTGCGCTGGTGTGCAAAACCGGAAATTACAAATGCAACACGATGTTCTGCGGGAGCTGCCACATTGTTTCAGCTGCAACGCACACATACACATGCGAGTACATGCCACGTGCAAGGCAACAAAAGCAACAAAAACAACAGCACCAACAGCTGGCGGCTGCAGCAGCGGCCCGCTTTCATGTCTGCTGCATTACCGCATTGTTGTTGCTGCTGTTGCTGTTGCTGTTGCTGTTCTTGTCGCATTCGTACTCCCTTGGCTCCCTTTGATGTTCAAAACTTCCGCCTGCAGTGCTCACTATGTCACAAAACAGCAACAACAACAACAACTGACACATGAGCCTCGATCGTGCACCATCCTAACATCAACTTTGGATTATTCTCTGCATATTGCAGGATTATACATTTTGTAAATGCAGGAGGGCGCTTTTCGCTGGAACTTCTAAGATGGCCGCCAAGAATAAAGCAATCGTGCTTCTTCGACGATTTGCAGTTCCTCTGCTATATCCCACTTCTTCTTCTTCTAAACTTATTGCACACTTCACTGTAATTAGCTTATTACTAGTTAACAGAGGGAGAGACCATAGGGCTGCCAAAGCGGGCAGCGCTCTGTTAGCTAACAGCGGTTAGCTTCAGCTGTAGCTAACAGCGAGCCGCCACGTCACAAAATTTTAGGTGTACACTTTTTATTTGCCTTAATGTCAAAAGAACAAGAGAGTGTATTAATGCATTTATTTATAAAAAATAAACTAGATTTCATCTCCAATTCTTGAATCAGCCATCATCTCCAAAATGCAACAATATTTATAGATATACACATGTTTTTTGTATGTACTATCACAATTTTGTTTTTTACTAAATTGTGGTGAGTTTTTTTTTTTTCATGTGGTGCAGCCAATGTGGCATCTTAAGATACTAAGTTGTACATGTGCTGCCACTATAAAGCATGACCTCGTGAGCAAGTAGATCATTTATGGAACTTATGTTTGTTTTTTTTAATATTTACTTTAATTATACAAGTAATATTTACAATAGCTTTAAAAAAACTTATAAATAAAAATAATATTAAAACATAAAGCAGAAATTTATTCTTCTTTCCATTTCATATTATTTATAATTTATATAAATCCATTGGAAAGGTCGATAGCGTGCGACCTCTTTAGTCTCCTGCTCAGTATAAATCCCATCCTCCTTTTATTTGTATGTGGTGTTGCTCATTGAGGACGTAACGAAATATTTTCAATAAGAATCCCATACACATTAAATAAATTTTTTTTAAATTACAAGATTTCTTATTTTTTAGGTTCTAATGATTAAAGCCTTTTATTTCTACTCAGGCATCCATTTTTTGCGTTTGTCGTTTTCATTTACCAGGGGGCACTAGTTAACAGGATTCGAATTTTCCCTAGGTGGGATTTTACAGCGATTTCGAATATCAAAAAGCCATATCGCCAAGAAGGAGCAATGCAGGACTTTGTGTCTAAACGACAGGTTTAAGCTAGAAAGCAGCTATCACATTTTATTGACTCTATCACTTATAAGGACATATGACACAGAAGAGCTGCTTACGAAAGGTGAGGGGCCTGTTCATATTATTATTATTATATTATACGGAAATATTTAAAAATTTTAAGGTCTTTGAGAAGACAAAACAAATAAAACTTAAAGGCCGACACACGAATTCTCCCATTCTTAACACACACTATTAATGGGCGCTAACAATTTGAAAAACAGTCGTAATAGGTATTCTTCGAGTTCTGTAATAAGAGAGCTCCCATATATCTGTTATTACTAGAAATTAAATGAACGGTAACTTTTCTTTCTTTGTGATCCACAGCTTAGGAGTTTTCTGAAATCAAAATTACATTAAAAAACATGTGGTTCTATCCCTGAGAGTATAGTGGAATTTGTTGGTAGTTTAAAAAAAGTTTCTGCCAGCTTATAAGTGCTAGATCGCATTTTGGCTGCAGATTCCATTCACATGTACAGAGGTGTGCGAAATACGGGATTTTATGCGAAATCAATATTTTTTTATTACAAGTAGATGAATTCCGCCGCTTAGTCTCTTTGCAACCATATTGAAAACACGGCTTAGTTTAAAAATGATTCAATAGCAATTACAATTTTGAGTAAACTTACTAATTGAAGCCAGAACTTATTGTTGGTTAAAAAAATGTCGCTAACAGATGTAAGCAACCGCTGTTAGTTAACAGAGCGCTGTCCGAGTCGGCAGCCACGCTCCCATATATGTTAACTAGCGGGTATTGCCCGTCTTAACCCGGCTCAATATAATGTTTCCAATTGTATTTATTTTGTGTGTGCATAACCTACCCATATGTTTTCACCTTAAGTTACCAGTAGTTTTCCCCCCTTTGGAGCTGGAATTTTCCAAAATCCCTTCTTAGTGCGCATCTACACCATGATAGGATACTTGAGCCCAAATTTCAGGAAATTTACACAAATTTACAAATTTACAGGAAAACTCCCATATTTTAGGCCCCAAAAAAATATCAAAAAACCAAGTACACAGTTTTTCTTGGAATTGTTCTGAGAGTATACAAACTAAGTTTGAAGTTAATCAGGTGAAAACTGTAGATTTTTCATACAAACGTTGGAGCCTGTTTTCCCCCCTTTAAAGCTCGAGTTTTCCAAAATCCCTTCTTAGTGGGCACCTAGACTATGAAAGGATACTTGAGTCCAAATTTCAGCTTCCTAGCCTTTACCGTTTGGGCTGTGCGTTGATCACCAATCAGTCAGTATATATATATATATATATATATATATATATATATATATATATATATATATATATATATATATATAGATTGGAGTTACATTTGTGAGTCTCAGGAAGAAATTCGACAATACATGTTGAAAAGAAAGGAAAAGTGTTAGTTTTTCAAAACCTCCATATTGGCTTCCACATTAACGCCCCAATCCTTTAGAATATTCTCTAATTTCGTCAACTGGAAAGACAGTTCTCCGGCTTGAACTTTACCATTGAGTTTAAAATAAATGAGGCATAGGTCAGACTTAAAACAACAGAGCGTTCCGGGTCTGATATTTATGTCAGACTGAACGACTCTGAGGGAAGGGGAACGAAATTTTTGGCAGCACAATTTTTCGGCTCGAAGTCTCGACAATGGCACAGTTCAACCGCGATTGTCGGCAACTGGACGATTCGACCCAGGAGGCAGCGTGCGATGCGATTTCTAGCCTTGAGCCCGACGACCCTAAGTGCAACAGCACCATGAAGAGGGCATCGGGTAACGATTGCGGCATTCTCGGTTACGCACACTCTGAATACAGCCTGGCTTCGCCTTCGACCCGTGAGATCATCTCACAGCAACGGCTGCCCCTCTTCGATGACAATGATGATACGGACGAGGGCGATATATCCGACGAGGAGGTAGAACTGTGCTCTGTTGTGCTCTCGATCGGCAGTTTGCCACGTCGTGCCACATGCCACAGCATGTCGCTACTGCCGAGCGATAGCGATTTGCACTATTCGCGGCTAGCCCTGGAACAGTCTTCGACAACGCCCAGCGACAATATGGGCCAGCGTTTGTATCTGGATGTGCAGCAGTACGAGATTGGTCCAAGACCAGTGGCTATGCGCGGTGGTGCAGAAGTGCCACTGCCCGGATCGGACCAAATAGAACGAAGCAATGCCGGCCAGGACGAGCTTGCGGTGTCCGCGCCACCTTTTAGCAGCGAAAGTACGCCAGAGCTGCGGTATGAGCGGTTGCTGCTCTCCACAGCCGAGCTCGAGCGTCACCAGCGCGTGCAACACCGAGCCTTTAGTTGCCCCATCAGTGGCTGCCAGATGGCTCTCAATGCAGCCACTCTGCTATCGCACTGTTTGCTCGTCCACCAGGAGGTAATGGCGCGGGAAATGAACGCGGGCGAGAGCATACAGTTGAGACTAGACCCCGAGCAGTTGCTCCAGTCCCAGAACAGCTGCCTTGCTGTGCTCCTGTATCGCAGCAATCAGCAACTGGTGGTTAATGTGGACCTGCCCCCAAGCTATCACTACTGGCAGGGACACACTGCAATTGTGCTCATGCTGTGCAAGACCTCCTGGGATACGCTGGGCCACCGTTGTGAACAATTGGGGTCCATTCAACCCGCATCCAAAGATGCAGCCGATGTGGCCAATCTATATATCTTTTGGCTACTCTGCCCACAGGCCATGCGACCCTTTGTCCTGCAATTGGGCGTCTTTGATGCGGAGGGTGGTCTCCTAAAACGCGCGCAGGTCCAAACCTGCTCCACTATGCAGCTGATGGAGATCAACGATGTGCTGGGCACCGGCCCACATTTTATGCGCATGACCCACAACGATCTTAAACAGCTAACCAAGAACTTTAGCCAGGCCATGCAGTTGGAGGTTGCATTGGTGGAGCAGCGCGAAACTAGGCCTGTAAAGCACGATGACAATCAGATGTAACAATGGAGCTTGAGCCGGGGGAGCAGCAGCTGAAGAAGTGTCAGGAGGACGGAAGGAAAAATAACAATCGGGCTTAGCAACGAAAGCTATCAGGCCACATTTGCAAATTCTAAATTGATTAATAAACGATTTCAAAGGAAAATGAAAACGGTAGAAGCGTTAAAAAAGGGGAGCAAATACGAACAAGAGAAACAACAGTTAAAAAAATATAGAGAGAAAGATACAGTGCTTGCTAAAGCCTAGGTTAACAAAGGAAATAAATTAAGGACAGGGTAGAGAAGAGATAAGGGGGAGAAATATGTGTATTTAAGTCCTGATCATCCATATGTCCGCTATGTTCCAAATTCGAGTATACAATGTGTGCATTATATGAAGCCATACCATATATATTGAAATGTTTTTCTATATTTTATTAAACGAGTGTACTACTACTACTACTAATCTGCCTGCTTAATCCATTTGAACATTAAAGAGGAATACAACAATTGTCCTTAGGACTCATCTATAGGATAGCATTTAAATCTATGTAGCTATACAAAATGCAAAGTGTTTACATTATTTTCAAATTACAATAGAATATGAAATATGGTTGAAGACAATGATGAAATTTAAACACAGAATCTAGTGAGGAGATCCTGTGGGTACTTTTTCCAACTTATCTTTCTTGGCCTAGAAAGCAATTGCCTCGCTAGTGCACTATGGTGGCATCGAAGGCGTTTCTCATAATTTTATCAATATTAGGGATACATAAATCCCTTTGAATGTCTCTAAGGCGCATAAACCATTAGCTTGCGCAACTCTTATTTTATTTTACTGTAAATCCAAATTTGTTAAGATGGGTTTGAAAATAAAGAAATGAATTTACAATGCAAGCTATTGAATATAATGACACGGAATCTAAGGATCTGGCTATATCCATTAATCTTCCAGTGAAATGAACGTTCAAAACTATAAAGTACGAGTCTAAAGTTTTAAGAGCTCAGTAGAACTGCCAGATGGCGAAAAAGCGAGGGAGAGTGAGGCAGGAACAAATAGAGCTAAGCTTTAGTGTGACCAGCTAATTCACAGCACTTCCCTCTCTCAACACATGCTTCATTTAATTTAGTTTTGTAACATACTTACTGCGCCACTCGACGCTTTTATTCGAGTTAATTTCATTATTGTTTTTAATTAAATATTGTTGCACAATGTTTGCCTGTCTCATGCCCAGCCACGTGCTCAATGTGTGTGTGTGTGTGTGTGTGTGTGTGTCTGAGTGTGTTTGCGCTGCCAAATTAGTGCAAAATTTTTAGCTTACGCCGCAAAGTATGCAACATGTTTGCTATGCGACCCCCACCCCCCACTTAGCCAACAAAACCAACACCTTTTTTTTGGTCTTGTTGACTCGGGTCGGGTCGTTGGCATTTTTCAGCAACTTGCATTAGCAAAAATGTCGACTGCTGCTTGTGTGTGTGTGCGTGTGTGTGTGTGCGAGTGTGCCAACTACATCAACAACTTTTTAACCAACTTTCCACGCGCTGTGGTGTGCAGCTCGGCGCTAAGCAGCACAACTAACGAGACCGCAGCGCTCCAGTGTAAAATATGGCAGCGCACCCTCCCTCCCTCGCTCCGTCCTTCCGTCATCATCCCCCCACAGCTGCCAGCAGCGTAGTTCTACAGCTTTGTACTATAGTTCCCTCTGAACTAACTAGCTCGCACTCCAACTATGACGCAATCTCTTGAAAGGATGCAAAATCGAACAGATCCTTTAAACAGATCCGTCATTTAAACAAGATCAGAAAAGTTCAAAGCATTATATAGTTGTAATGGGAAAGTATTCGAAAGTATATTCGATTTTTCTTCTTCACTTTTGTCAAAATATCAGAATCAGCATTGAGTTTATGTTATGTTCTGAACAAATGCCTCGCTTCACCCAAAATAATCGTGTAGTATGTAAGCGTAAATGTATCTTTTATTTATTAAATTAAATTAAATTTTAATTTATTGGCTATAAATCGAAAGTTTTCAAGTGCACTTCAAATTAAAATATGAAAGGGAAGAAAGGAATCAGGTAATATTAATTATTGTTAATTGTTTGATTTTCGAGATACTGGAATAGATGGACAAATCGTCATGTCTAGATAGACTCGAACGGTTATGGTGATCAAGAGCATATACGAAATAGTACTAAATCGTGAAAGTAACTTGCCATCAACAGTATCACTTAAGTAAATCGTAAGAAAACCAGGCAGAATCAATGATCCTGTATTTTTTGAAGCTTCTCAACTCTATACTATATACAAGTAGCACGTTGAAATCAAATAAAAGCATTCAACTGCAATTTCAATGTTGAGTATACGCACAGAAAAGTATACTTCGTTGAAATAAAATAAAGGCATACAATTTTTTTTTTTCACAACTAGAATTTAATATTAACTACCATTCATATGTAGACTTTAGATATGTTAAAGAGTTATGTGCTCCAGAATTGAAGCCATTTGTTTTCAAAGAGCGTGAGGGGAATTTCGTTGACTCTACTTAACTTACTGTAATTCCTCGATTTATAAACATTTGAAAGACAATTCAGATTCGAGAAATCCAAGTGAATTAGAAAATCAGATTCAAACTCTTCGACAAACTCTTGCACTTGAGTTCTGCTTGCGGATTTTACTTGCATAAGTAGTTCCTATAACTGGTACTCTGCCCTGTCTCGGTCTCTGGGCTCGAATGTGCATTTTTTTTAGCCAGTTCTAAACTTTACTTTAGATGCAGAGATTTTTTGATGTCGTAGTTTTCCGGCAAGTGGTTTGGTGTTAATGTAGCCCCTGTTGTTGTCATTTCGCTTGTTCCTGTGGTTGTTGCCACCGATGTTTTTGTTTTTGTTTTCGTCGTTGCCCTTGTTGAACGCTTTATAGCTGCTACTTGACGCTGTTGTTGCTGCGGTTGCCGCATTGTGGTCTGCTCGTGTGTCTGCCAAGTTTTGATGCTGCAGCTAAATTGTTGGCAGCTTTTTTCTTTCTTTTTTTTTGGTTGTTTCCGCCAGCACAGCACCACCCAACACTCTCGAAAAGTACAAAGCGTTGTAGTCCACTGACATTTTAAATTGCACACAAATTGGCATCGTTTTTTATTATTATTATTATGATTATTATATTTTTTCAGTATTTTATTTGGCTGCTGCCTTTGACGCAACGGAATAAAAATTCATTTAAAAAAAAAAAAAAAAAAAAAAACGAAAATAATAATTTCTTGTTTTTCTTCCTGGCGTCAAAATAAAGTGTTGCCTGTTTGTTTTTTAGGGTTGCTTTTTTTCTATTTGCAGCAGCAGCCGAAACCCATGTTTGGAATATCCAACAACGACAACCTCAAAAGCCCAATGGTGACGACAATGACAACAAAAGTTTTCAAACAGACGACCACAAAATAAATTGCAATTGAATGTTTTAATTTGTTCTCGTCTGCTTGCTCCATATCTACATACTATATTCTTATATACCCTTGTACATATACATACAGGGTGCGCCATCTTTTATGTCGGTATGTAAACATTGAATATCTTTGAAAATAAACAACCGATTTTCAAGTATGAGATATTTTTATTTAATTTGGTTCTGTACAATTTCCGGAACTGAGGTTTTCAACACTGGTCTACTCAAGTCAATCGGTTCACTAATGACAAAGTTATTCAATATTTACATACCGACATAAAAGATGGTGCACCCTGTATATAAGCATAATGTTGTTCGTTCTAACTGACTGATTATTTTACTGATTTGCAAGTCAAGCCGGCACAGAAGGAACACAGAAATTTGAAAATAACTTCTCTTGGGTGGCACGAGAAAAGAACTCATAAAAATAACAACGAAGTCAAATTGTGGGTCAATTGTGTGTAAAATACATCCTTTTCTACCTGGACGACCAAACCCTAAAGTGCTTTGTGGCGGCAAATGTGTGGGAAATAGAGGCAACTAACAAATGAAATAGGAGTTGGTGGGCGCTGGCTTACAGTTTCGTACCAGATTGGCAAAAACATTTTGGAATATTTTGAGGCATCTCTAGAATAACGACATTAAAGTCATAATTGAATCCATTCTGGCGAACCATTTCATTCGACATTTTTCGCTAAAATCTAAAAAACAATCTACTTACTACTGAAGTGTTTCATCCCACTTCATAAAATAATAATCTAAGGCCAGACGATATTTGTGATGTATTCGCAAGGCACTTAATGCAAGTGGATGCGACATCAAGACCTGGCCCATGAGCCACAACAATATTCTTTAACCCTATTTAAATATCAAGTTTGATGGAGAACCTCGAACTACCGCTTAGTGCGTACATTTATGTGGCTTGCTGGGAATACAAATATTTTAATCTACAGAGAAACATTTTTAGACTTGAGCTGCAAGAACATTTTTGTAGCCTAATTTTCTCAGATATTTTTGGTTACCCAGCGCTTTGAAATGCAGACATTTCTATATTATAATATTGGATTAGTACACCAAATTGGTTTGTTTCCAACAAGCTTATCTTTAATAAAAATATCTATTTAGCAGGTATAGAGACGAACTTGATTAATTTTATGAATACTTACGAATGCGGGGATTTGGAGAAACCCCCGGTTGGAATTTTGTGTCCAACTGTGGCTTTGTGGCTTAGCAAACTGTGGTAGTGAGAAGAAAATGCATTTCATTTGCAAAACCAGTGAATAATGCTTTTCATTAGCGAAAATAAATACCCTATCATCCACCAGTTGTTATTACAGAACACCAAAAAATAACATGCATCTCTGTGGTGTTTTTAATTATACGAAAACATTATAAATCTGATTCAATTATGCATCGATGGTGTGTCAAGCGCTATGCTGCGCCCTGACTTTCTTTTATTACGTATACGTAATCTTAGACACTCACAGAAAAGTATGCTTCTCTTTTTTACTCGCGTTTAAGCATTTTAGCTTCAAAATGCAAAACTCGAGAATCGACTTTTAAGTACGTCCTCATCTATAAAAATGCTTTGAATAAGAAATTCTATTTGTATAAATTCTGCTGTTTATAAATGATTGTTGCCGAGTGACTTCTTTTGCAACAAGAGTTCTTGATATCTTGAAAAAGATTAAGACCAACTGCTGAAATAAAATATTAAAAGGTGAATAACTGAACCCTGATCACAAATTCAACATTTTGTATAGAATATATTGCAGAAGTATTACGATGAATATCTGCAAAGAAACGTATTACCAAACGACTACAATGACATGAACTCGAATATACAGAGAAAGCTTTAATTTTTATACTCTGTACATGAAATGTACAAGAGTATATTAGGTTTGCGCGAGCTGAAAAATGTAATAGGCAGAAGGAGGCGTGGCAGACCCCACAAAGCATATATATTCTTGATCAGCATGAAAAGACGAGTCGATCTAGCCCTGTCTGTCTGTCTGTCCGTCCGCCCGTCC